TATATATATATGATGTAATATGGTTAAGAAATTCAAAACTCCCGTCACTTTAAAAAGTTTAATTGGAACCAAGATATAAAAGTTCATCATTTGGTTCAAATATATATATATATATATATATATATATATATGTATATATATATATATATGCACACATATTTATAAGTATAGAGAGGTAATACTTTGGTTTAGAAAAGAATGTTAGAAAAAACAAAAAAAAAGTTAACGGGCCTCAAGCCCGGCCCGAGACCCGACTGGCCCGGCCCGACCGGCCCGTAGTCCATTTGGCCCGAGGCCCGAAAGCCCGAAGTTTAATGAGTCTACATTTTTAAGGCCCATGTCCTTATAATTTCGGGCGGGCTTGGGCCGGGTTTCGGGCTCCGGACTTAATTGACATCCCTAACTATATCAAATATAATTTGTTAACGGGCCTCAAGCCCGGCCCGAGACCCGACTGGCCCGGCCCGACCGGCCCGTAGTCCATTTGGCCCGAGGCCCGAAAGCCCGAAGTTTAATGAGTCTACATTTTTAAGGCCCATGTCCTTATAATTTCGGGCGGGCTTGGGCCGGGTTTCGGGCTCCGGACTTAATTGACATCCCTAACTATATCAAATATAATTTTATTTTAGACAATTGAATTATTTTTATAATTTTTTCTCATTGAGTATATTAATTTGCTAGTCAACTAAATATAAATACTAATATAATATATATAGTCGAATAAAGATGAATATGCAAATATTCTTTATGAAAATTATGACTATAATATAATTTTTTATTAGACATTTGTTTATAATTTCAGTAAAATAAATGAAAGACTAAATAGGTGCAATATAAATGTTTAAATCAATACCTTTAATCGATTCTTTGTACCGATTTTTTCACACAAATTTTTCTACCTTTTTAAATTTGTATCTCGATATTTTTAGGTTTATTACTTAATACAGATGACTGCAATTATGGTTTGCAGTTATCCATCGACTATTTTTTTAGGGGTGGATATTTTATTTCTGTTTCGAAGAATCGATCCTATAAAAAAATATTTTAAAATTTTTAACGGTATTATTTTTACAAAATCGAAAATTTTGAAATCGAACCAAATTTTAACAAAACTGAAAAAACAAAATTTTTTTAAAATAAGAAATTTTTAATAAAAATCGAAACTAAAGTCGAACCGATTGATATTATTTAAAATCCATTATCGCTTATCTCAACACTTTAAAAAATATTATTTTGAAGACTCATACAAACCGTAATAAGACTAATTCCGGAATAACTTTTCATATAAAATATACACTTCAAGACCCAATGTAATACCCCGATTTCCGAATAATTAATTAAATATAATTTCGGGAATAAAATAGGGTAAAACGTCTAAAATACAAGGTGATTGATATAAATATCGAACCAAGGGGGACAAGTGGGGCTAGAACACGTCGAAAACGTCTGAAAAACGAAGAAAAAAAGGGTCTAGACCGATCAGTCCAGAGAAAAAACAGAGAAAAGACGAAAAATTGCCCAAGACCGACCGGTCCAGAGTGCAGACCGATCGGTCTACATGTTCGCTAGCCAGACCGGACGGTCCAGGGCCAGACCAGACGGTCTAGGGTCTGGGGTAGGAAAACGCCGAAAAATGCTGACTTTCTTCAACTTTTGACCGAGATTTTTCCACGAGAAAAGTGGCCCCTGCGCCGTCGGCTGCCACTCATTGTGTTGTATGCAACATGGATTGGCTCTCTGCCCCATTTTCGGGTCCGAAATCTCCCCAAAATCGGGCTTTTAACCGACTCCAACAGGTGAATGTCACCATTCTGCAACCCAGAAACGAGGTCATCGAAAACAGAGAAAAAGGGAGGAAATCGGGGAGAACCGAGGCACAACTAGCTCGGAAAACTGTAGAGGGAATCCCAAGGAGGTTCCTCGGAAGTTTCAGAGTCTAAGAAGACCTATAGAACTCGCACAAGCTCGGAGAAAAACACATCTCACAGAAATCCGAGGTGAGTGGTTCGGATTGTGTTTGTGAGATTCTGCAAGAGTTAAGAACCTAGATAAGTTAAATAATGAGTGGGTAACAATCGGAATCAAAATCGGATCAAAATTTGGGCAAAAATGGCGAAAATCGGACTGGAATTCGCGAAGTCCAGGTTCCAGACCGACCAGTCCAGGGTCTGGACTGACCGGTCTGGGACATAGACAACAAATGAGTTGAGCTGAACTGAACCGACCGGTCCACACGGTCACCGATCGGTCTAGGACTGGACCGGCCGGTCTGAGACATAAACGAACGATCGGTCCGAAAATGACCTAGACCGACCGGTCTAGGCCAAGACCGATCGGTCTAGGGGTAAAAATTGAACTAAACGGTTTAAACGCCTAGACCAGATGGTCTGTCTCTAGACCGACCGGTCCAGGCAACATGAATAGTGAAAAATCCCAAAATGGCTGGACCGTTCGGTCCACGTACTAGCTGCACCCCGACTATAAGTTCAAATGGATTAAACTAGAATACGGTGTTAAGATATAATCAAAGAAAAATGATAAAACAAGTATGTCGAACGAATGTAAAAAGGATAAGAATGCATAAAAAGGGAAAGAAGCGAACCGCAAATCGAAGTGAACACTAAGGGTAAATCTAAGAGAAAAATTCGGAAGTGATGATATAGAAATAATGGATAAATAATTGTGTTGTGATGCATGTGATTGAACGGTTGATGGATCCCGTACTTAGTACCGGTTGACGACGTGAGTCAGTACTAGTACGGGGGCGTGTGGATATGGAACCAGTGTCGGTTGACGACTTGGAGTCAGCACTGGATGTGGGTGGTTTCTGTAGTAGTACCGGTTGACGAACTTGGAGTCAGTGCTACTACCGAAATGAAACACCAGTACCGGTTGACGATGTGGAGTCAGTACTGGTGTTGTTGGGTGGACGTTCCCATAACGGTGTCGGTCGACGAAGATGAGTCAGTACCGTTATAGAAATGTTTAGTGAAGCTAGTACCGGTAGACGACGTGGAGTCAGTACTGGTGAATCTGTGTGGTCGTCTATGTAATAGTACCGGTTGACGAAGTGGAGTCAGTACTATTATAGAGAAGCAGGGTGGAATCTAGTACCGGTAGACGAATAGAGTCAGTACTAGATGATACCGATAGGAAATGGTATCTGATGATGCCGGTTGACGACTTGAGTCAGTACCATCAGATATCGAAAATGTATAGAAAATGATAATAAATTAAAAAGGACTATTGAGGAAACGTTAATTGGATAAAATAAGGAATTCTTGTGTTGAGAGATTAGTTGGCACCGTTCTCCATGAGAATGGGCTTTCCAGGCTCAACCCGAGCCATTCACTAAGCATTATGCTTAGTCCTCCGTTGTTGAATTTTTCAGATCCCGAGGAGCACGAGTAGCGTACTTTGGACGACGACGACATGGGAAAAGTATTATTATGTACGAACATTTTATCTTTCTTTCGTGTGTTTTGGACTGTGGAACAAGGTTCCATGTGAAGACGGTTGTGTTTAAATTACGTTTTTGGACATGTGTTATTTTTAAGAGACGTGTGATATGTGTTATTACACTGCGTACTTTTATGTAAAATGATTTTTAATCTCCCGTACTTTCGGTTTTATTATATTTTATTGATTTTGTCCATGTGGCATATCATGTTCACGGGATACGGGATTCGGGTGTCACATCCAACTCGATAAGTTTTTAAAAAATATTCAAAATAAAAATCCAACGACATTTAAGGGATTCTTACCCAACCAAATTAATATTTCAAATTACATCATATTAAAACCTTAATAATGATAATCTTGACTATATTACTACATTTTCCTTCCGATTTTAAGTTTCCGTGTTCTACTATTTAATTTGTAATATTAACAAATATTTAAAAGATTTTCATTTTAATAAAAATACAAACTATTCTTTTTTTTTTATGAAATTTGGGTATATTTATCAAAAAGGGATGGTACATAGTCCAGGATCCTCGATCCACACATAAAACTTACGCCAAAAAACCTTACAAAGGAATAAATTACATATCAAATCAGCACTTATACTCGTACGTCTCGGTAAAGAGTTAGGGAGTACCACTTCTGGAGTAGGTTGTTGCTTTCGCAGTCGCATACCTGTTGGAGCGATAACAGAGTGCTTCGGACAGATCGGTCTATTCGATGTCTGAGCATTAGAGCTGTAGCAGTCGAGTTCTGGAAGATCCGAGAGTTCCTTTCCTTCCAGATTTCATAGAGAGAGTGTTGAATTAGTATTTTTAGTAATGTTCTTCGGCTAACTGTGTCTGGCCCCGAGATGCGGCTCAACCAGACTTGGCATCCCGCGAGCTCTACCGGAGGATTCGACCAGATTTTTCCTG